AAAAATTGTCCGAAAAAGAAACAGTTTTTTCCGGTAAATTTTATAAGGTTTTGAAAAAACTGTAATTTTTGCGGGAGTTTTAGCGGGAGCTTTTTGAAAAAAACTAGTTTTTGCGGGATTTTTTTTAAAAAGCTGGAGTTTAGCGGGAGCTTTTTGAAAAAACGGGAGTTTTGCGAGAGTTTATTATAAAAAGATAGTAGTTCAGTGGTAGATTTGTGAAAAACTGTATTTTCTGAGTTTTGATGATGAATATTTTGATTCTTACCTTACTAAACGAGGTGATCTTTTTATACCCGCCATTGCTGAGCAAGCAACTGAAACTGAATCAAGATGATTGCTGAGTAAGAACTATCAAATTGTCCGTGTGTACTATGGAACCGCCACAAAAAAATTGATTCACATAATCAATTCAACAGATAAAGTGTAATTTGTCACATTATGAAATGATTTATACCTCCGAATGTCAATACTTTTTAGTATACAATGTTTTTGTAAAAAATGAGCAGGTTTTATTAAGAAATCGATTAAACATACGTAAAATGTGTTTGAGGCGTCCTATCACCGATCAGACTCTAAAAAGTACTTTTTATAATTTTCACCACGCTTTGAACGATGTCGCCGATTTTTACGTGAATCTTTAACATTAAGAATGGTTTATTTAAATGTAATTGGAAAACAAAACAATATGACAAAAATTATTGAGTCATAGGGCTGATGATATATTTTTACGGAAGAACAAACATTTTACGGGAGATTCCCATAAAAAACGGGAGGTTTGCAGGTCTGTACTGTTACCCTAACCTGTACTCTGTTTTGAAATACCTATTGGCCTTTTCTTTTTTCGCATCTACGCGTTCATACCTATTACATCATGACAATTACATATCATCAATGATCATCAACATGTACACAATCATGTCACATCCTGAATAAACCGCTAACCATTTCCAGCAGAGAAAAAGAAACGATGTCCTCATAACTGGCCATGGAGAACAATCAGGCCGCATTAGTGATAAGAGGATACTAATGGAGCTGTGATTCGAGAAGATAGATCATGATTCAAAACATTAACTCTTGCATAAATCTCAACACCCATTTCCACTTCCTAGTCACCATGGGATCAATAAATTCTGAAATTGGTCATCGTTTACTACACCACCGACTCGTCATCAGGAAATGTGGATCTTTGTCAGGATTTATTAAGGAAAGTGACAGTATGTGACAAGACTTATCGTCTCTTATTAAATGAATGGAATAGAGGGTATATAAGATGCGGAAATGTCCAAATTTATCTTAGCCCCCCTTTTCTGTTTTGCAACCTTATAATTTAAAGGATCGTCCGGAAATAGAATACTAGTAATTACTGTAATGACCCTAGATAACAAGTTGCTATGAGTCTCAGCTTGAGTGGCTAGCCCTTATTGCTTAATTAGGGGTAGAGCTCTGGTAGAGCTTCGGAAGGTCCTGGATATGATTTCCGCACGGGGCGTTAAATTTAGCACATTCCCTTTCGTGTCCAGTATCTGGCTCAGTTGCTACACTACGATCCCCGGATGAGTGGCCATAGGTCGTTCCAGAACTTTTATTAGAAAGAGGATATGACATTGAAATATGAGAGTACGCTTAAGACATAAAATTGTCAACTTCTAACATTTTTTCGAAACGTGCTCTCAGCGAACGGAAAATATTTAATCGATGCATTTATGGGCGATTGGTCATACCATGGGCTTTCAATAGATTGGCGTTTCGATTTTATATGCAAGCTTAAACTCTTTAATGTCAATGTCATCAAATCAAGACCACCTAATTTTAATCACGCTATTTCTATCACATTTGGCTTCTGACCAATGCATTACCCCATTATCGTCATGAGCGTCTGACACAAGTCTGTCCTTGTTTTCCACTTCAGCGATGCAATCATCACCGATCCAGGACTAATCGTCCTTCGGGAGTTGTGAAAAATTACATTTTGAAGACGTATCCTTATCCGGCTAAAGAAATCTCAATGCAGTCATTCATAATCACAGATTTAATTTGAAGATGCTTTACCAAATTGGGCCCACGAATATTGAAGAAGCATTTAATGAAGGTTTTGAACAACCAAAAGCAATCTCATCATTACAATATTATGACTAATGAAGGAATTAAATCAGTAGTGATTGTGTAGGGAACACTTCCTATCATTGGCTTCAATTGTATTTTCAGCACTAACTACTATCCATTAGAAAACCAGAATCGTAAAGTACATCCTGCAATCAATGTTACAATGCCCAAAGTGGATTACTTACTCGCTTACATAACATCTCATTTGCTCATACTTAATCAATACATGGAGAAACATAATTGAATACATATCTGGGGAAAACATCGAAACTTTTTCACATGCCACAGAAGGATGTCAACCCGAGTACCCTAGAGGGACTTTTTTGTTTTGCGTCTAACCCTAGATTAGGTCCTATGCTAATGAAGTGTTAATCGACACTTTATCGATATTTGATTTTGTGAATATTTGAGACAAAAAATTGTCTTTTTGAGCCCAAAAAATAAGTTCGCCTTCTTCTGGCGATCCATTTTATTTACTATAATGTGAAATGCCAAAAGCTTTTGAAATATGTGAGTGCTGTCCATCTTCCTTTGTTAATGGATGTATTGGTGGAGGGAAGGGGTGTGGTTTAGTCATACCCGAATTCTGCTTTGGAATAAAGTCCCATGGATCATTCTCAGAATCACATAGCAACTTTATCAATTATAGGTTCCCTCATAGATTAAAGCCAAGGTGTATTTCAAGTAAACCTTAATATATTATCCAACATCCTTTTCTAATGAATGAAATGGGACAGGAACGTAAATCCGTATCAGAATTCCTCTTCCCTACTGTAAATGCCTACAGGATTTCATCGTGGTTCAAGAGATGTTCGATCGGTTATAGAATAAAGTGTTGTACGTGTATCGCTAGGGGCATAGTCGAACTTGATTAACTAAATGATTCATTCCTGTTCACAGTCTGGTGTACCTTTAAATAATCGTTTTCTTTAAGATTTCCATAGAGAATATAAATGATTACAATTACGGTGAAAAATGAAGTATGACAATCAATTTGTTTACGGAATTACGTCGTTATAAACAGTAACAGTTTTGGAATAACGATTGCTGTTCATTGCCTTTTGTTGATTAGAGAAGAGTGAGTATAGGGGAGTTGTGTAATCGTATTAGACATTACTTTGGGTTACAGTAATGGTTTTCAACACATTAGAGACACGTGCCCGTGTTCACCATATTGAACGAAGGATCCCATCATGGATAAAGGGTGCATAAGGTGCATTGAGCGATGAAAGCGGCTGGGTAACAGTTATTTCCCCCATATTGAGTTACCTTAACAATCATTGGTAAATAAATACATCTGCAACAATTCTAAATGAAATACTTGTTTCTTTCCTGAACAATTAACTTTTGGTTTTAGGTGCCCAATTTTTTTTTTTAATCTAAAAAATCACTCAAATTGAGAATTCTTCGACGATCCTTTGGGTTAGGGGACATACATGTAGCCCATTCTGATACTCATCATATCTTTCTTTAACTAGAAATATGCATACTCTAGTGAAGCTAAGAGAAGGCCATGATTTATCATGATGCATGTAGCCTGCCTTCCTGGAAAGCTGAGACGATTCCCTTCATTTTGAGAATTGTGTTAAAAATCGTAATGAGAACTATTCAAGGTTGAAACGTTTGGACGTTTCAATACTGCTAAGTTTATAAGTAGCCGTCCTTGTGAATGAGTTCTCCTAATTCTGAGGACTGCAATAAACAACAAGAAGAAGATATCTAATCAAACAGGCTACACTGCTTGATTAATTTCAGGTAAAAAAGGAAGGCATTGTACAAACATATAAAACCAAGGGGTGCATAACAATTCTTCATATGTGCAAAACATCATGCTGTTCCATTAGTGTATTCCTTTCAAACATATGAAATGCCTTGATTAATGGAGATAGAAACTATAGGAATTATAACGATTGGATTGATTTTTGCGATTCGTATAGCTACTATCTCACTACACCTTATCAATGGGTGTCTAATTGGGGTTTCTTTCATCTTGACTTAATATTTCCTTTCGTGTTATATATAGTCTGATTGTTGAATGGAGTACTCTCACAAATGAACATACATTTTCCATTATCAAGGAGGATTGGCTCCCAGGATCGAAACTCGATATTTTCCAACAATGAAAACGTCGAAATGTCGTTATTTTCTGAAATTAAAACCGACTATAAATTCAAAATAAACAGTTCAAAAGATTCGAACCAATATCTCGATCATTTCTTGTGAGTTTTGGAATTTTTCGTTTGGAAATAAGACCAAAATTCACGATTTAAATGTTGAAGTGAACAAAATGGCGGCTGTTTGAATTCGAATTTTGTATTACGACATACCCATATATGGGACAGAATATCGGTGGTGCACTCTGGGAGCCAATCCTCCTTGTTCCATTATATTGTTGATTTCTAGAGCATCGGGTTTGGCTGTGCGAACATAAAATGAATTGTCGGAATTGCGCTAATGAAATGATATAGCGCCGCTCAACAAATAGGCAACCACAAAATGAATTCTTAGACACTGCGTTTCAAGCTTATCATCAATTTTTTCAGGAGGAATCAAAATGCAAAATGCAGTTTTAGGGACGGCCTTTAGGATCATCTGCTGAAGGGCAAATACGATATATACAATTTAATACAAATTAAGTTATTTGATGCTTTCAGGTACTATGCCATTAGACATCTGCTGAAAGGCAAATACGATATATACAATTTAATACAAATTGAGTTATTTGATGCTTTCAGGTACTATGCCATTAGACATCTGCTGAAAGGCAAATACGATATATACAATTTAATACAAATTGAGTTATTTGATGCTTTCAGGTACTATGCCATTAGACATCTGCTGAAAGGCAAATACGATATATACAATTTAATACAAATTGAGTTATTTGATGCTTTCAGGTACTATGCCATAAGACATCCGATGAAGGCCAAATACATGTGTACAGTGCAAAGGTCCAGGAGAGTGATAATAGGGATCTGGTTTCTAGCTTTTGTCCTCGCCTTCCCCATACTCATAGGACGGGTAAGGGTATGACTGTGATATATTGTTTATCAATAATTCCCATTTGAATGATCCTCATTGTTTCTTGTATAGCGCCGTTGGCATTACTTTGTAAAATGATATATTACCATAACTTTTTATTTTACGCTTCTACACCTATGGTGTCATTGACTCGGAGCTCTGCATGCTTTAATAAGTTTATTCAAGAAACCTATTTTATAGTAGATTGTGGATAATAAGTTGGCCTTTCAGGCAAAATGCAAAGAAAGTTATGCAATAATGACGCAATCGTAGTTATAAGTTAAGTCTACTGAGACTGGGATGCTGATTTATCTTTTTCTCATGGTTAATGGACTGAGGAGAGTTTCAGTTTGGATTCTTTATTATTCTCTCCACACACCTAACCATATAAATTGTTTATTGCTTTGCGTTTACGCACGTAGATAGCATTCTTGATAAACGTAATTATTTGTAAATGACTGGTTATGCCTCAGTCACATTTGATCTACGGTAACCGTATCGCGTCGAGATCGTAGCTTACCAAAATCGAGAAAAATATGATAAAAAAAACCTTTAAACTTAATCGTAGATTTCCAACATCGACTACCGTACGGCCGCCGTAGAGCAAATCTGATCGAGACTTAAATGATCTGCATTGTAACCATGAATAAATGGCACTAAGCTGTCATGGACATTTCTTTCGATTAAAAAATAAAAAACACATTTGGCAACTTTCTTGAAATACAGTTCTAATTTAGCGGCAGTTCCGAGTATCAAGTGCTAACAAGTCACTGTGATATATATCAACATTAAATTGACATTCTGAGTATAACATAAAAATTATTTTGAAGACATCAGTTGGGATGGTAAATCATATTCCCATTTAATTTGTAATGTGACTACTATTGGAATGAATAATGAACAATGTGCAAAGATCTTCTATTTCCATAGCAACCAACCTTTACAACACAGGGCTCAATCAAATAATTTATAGTTGTTAAGCTTTTTAATTTAGAAAGTGTGTAAGAATCCGCTTGTAAGTATTTCAATACTGTGACATGACCATATAGGCTAAGTTGGAATAAACTTAAAAGTATGTTTTTATACTTCGACAGCAAGATTTAATAGGGAAATTTCAGGATCATTTATTTCAAATACCAACATACATATTTTGCCCTCGTATCTTGAAACTGGTGCTTTGCTCAATTCTATATCATATTTCTCATATTTCTTGTAATATTCTGCGGACATTTATTAATGTAAAAGAACCAGAGACTTAATAATGTTGCTTAACATTTGCTTATCATTTCTCATGTCATACATCCAAAAACCTTGAGAATAGAATTATTCATCGAATGACGTCAATAAGTACTAGTCAACATCAAGAAATACAATAACAAGAAACAAAGAAGATAAAATGAAACAAAACTAATTACATTACACCACACGAGGGCTTCATAAGTTTTACAAAATATAAAAGTTGTTCAAAAATAAGATAATTTTCTGAAATTTTACACGAACTTAACAGTATAAGACAGAAACTTTTTTATGGACCTACAGACTACTGCAATACAAGAATAAATATGAGATATTAGTCCATATGGGGAAAATGTTTCATTCAAATGTTTTTATGTATGAAATGTATGAAAATGTTCTTGTATGAAAATCCGTAAGGTTCATAATCATTATTCACAGTAGGGGAGCAATGCTAAATATAGTGATTTTAGATTAAAGTGATAAAAAGTAACTTGAAATTAATTACAAAAATGTATTATTTAATTAGCGTGTCGCATATTACATACTTTACTAAGTCAACAGGGAAAGGACATAACTTGCAATTATTGGCAAATACCCCCATGGTCAGAATGAATCATTTTTAGGTGTAACATGAAGAATACAGTCCCCTGGAATACAGTCAAATAACACTTACGAAAATATTTCAGCTTTTGGACTCACATGGGCTGAGGTCATTAGTTCAGCAAGGGTTATTGACTTGACATGGGATGTCCTTCATTGACTTAACATGATGGAGGGTATCATCATATCCCAATAGATGCCATTGGTTCCCATTAATTATCACAAATATACCAAAAATACACTATGACCTAAATCGATTGCAAATTAAATAATTTCACAAGATGACACAATTGGTATATCTCCTCGAGACTGGATTTTATCTATCCCACATCATTTGAAACTGAATACTCTATCTTTTATGAGTACTAGTATCTACAACTATTTTTGATGTTATGAGTATTGGCTATTAATATTTTCAATTTTTCCTCAACATGTATTGTAATGACTTCAGTATGAATGAAATGTCCCTTGGTGTACTGGTCCTGGATTGTGATATTGGTTCTCGAATGGAGGGGGAGGGGGATTTTAGACATTGTTTCTTTTCACGTTAGATCATGGTTTTGGGATATATAGGGTCTACTTTTCTTATGTTTCCCTTTGGCATTTGCGCTTATATATTCATCAAATGTGCAAATATGAAGTTTGTAATCGATCCAGGTCATTAAAAGATTATACATTTACGAGATAATACATTTTTCCAATAAAATATATTGACCCTAATAAGTGGTATATTTATTTTGAAAAATCAGATGAATCATTTTTTCATAGGGAAATCATAATGGAGAGTGCACTTCATCCTTTTGAGGATACTTACTAGGATACGAACCCGGGATACGAAATAATCCATAGCAAATAAGAATGAATCGTATTTCACAGTGTGCTTCTAATATCTCACAAGAGCTTATAAACTGTTCTAAGCTTTAGATCATGAGGGGTCGCATACCCCCCCCCCCCTCCATAATTTCCGAAGCCTAAGAGGAGGGAAACCCCAGAGCCCAGAGATTACCTCAAAATTACCTCTCTTGATTGCCACCTTCGTTTTACCGAATTTCCACCATCTAGTTTCTGGATATCACACGTCGATGTGATTATTAATACCCTTCGCGCAGAGTCTAGTTAAAAACTACTATGAAGACGAAGCTCTCTTTTAACAAGTGAAGTCGAGCGAATGCAAAGGGTAGATTATTAATTGATCTAAACATACTATATCTAGTATTCCTTACATCATCTTGACATGGCTACAATACCTGTAAACATGCCTGAAACATGAGAAATTAACATCCTATTATTCAAAGCGTTTTTACAAAAATTAGAATCCGCCATTTTGTTTACGTCAGCAACGATGGTCATCTCTATATCAAGTTATATTGAAGTCAGAGGGGAATAACCCGAGAGTTCAAAGATGACATGTTCTTATAAAGTACACCTGTATTGATATGACAATTTCTGATATGTCAAAAATCGGCAATCAAAATGGTGGCCTCAAAGTTTTCGGAATACGCTTCCAATTATTCATTTATGGCGTGTTAACCAGTTCCATAGCTTTTTATTTCACAGCAAGATAAAGAAAGGTGTAAGGAATATACCTACATCAATCAAAACATCACATCGAAGTGTAGTATTTGGAAACTAGCCGGTGAAAATTCGAACGAAGGTGGTAAGCACGAGACGTACAGTAATTATGCCTGTTATTTCTAAAGCTCTGGGCTTTCCCTCCTCTTGATTAAATTTAAGGTCATCTCTGAACCCTTGGGTATTCCGCCTGTTGATATGTTGCCATATTTATGGATTGTTTTTGTTGTTTTTGTGTGTTTTTTATTATTGTCTTGAATTTTTAGATGTGTTTTTGTGTCGTTGTTTTTGGTTAATTTTCACTGTTGTGTTAAATGTTCAATATGTTTGTACTCCGTGCTAAATGGGAAATAAAGATATATATATATATATAAGCTTGGTGGATGGTGTGAGACATATACAGTAAAGAGAAACCACAAGAAGTATGAAAAACAACAAGTCACCAGCCCCCAATATCCCAAAAAATCTAATGTACAGAAACAGTATAGAGGTTTTAAAAATGTAATAATATACGTAATAAATGTTTTTGGAATCTTTTTTAATCACAATTTGGATCGAAAATTTGATCTAATTTAGGTTTTTAATTAATACATGAAAAACTTTGAAATTTTTATTCCTACAAGAAAAAACATTACGTAAGAGACAAATAATATAATACATCAATTAATAACTGACATTTTATATAAAACAAATAACTGAATTTACTCTGATCTATTAGTCTTTATTAACCATTTACAAAAAGGCTAATAAGTTATATCCGAGATAAGGTCAGTCTGTCTTATAACGTTAACCCATCTATTTGTGTTTCATTAAGTTAACAATTATTTGTCTAGACAATTTGTTGTTTTTTACGGTCGATTCGTGTGTTTCGCTTGAGCCGATAATTATCTTTTTTTGTAGGATCTTGTCGTGACCGTTTTGAATTGAAATCACAAGGGATTAGATAGAAAACCATTGATTATATTACAAGGTGGGCCAAAAAGGTAACCCAAACAATTGCATGTTTATAGCTCAGTCATTCAGCTTGGACTTGTAATACCAATTAAACTTGGTAGAATGAAGGATAACCAAGTACTATTTAATTTGGTGACCGTTTTGTGGCTCATCGTGTATAAGAGACAACAGAACAAAAATCACCCACAATCTGTTCAGTCTCGTGCTTCAATTTTCTTTCGCATACGTCAAAAGATTTGAAGTGTTACAAAAGGAAAGCTTTTTTGCAAGGTTCTTGCAAAACTTGACCTACATACTGTAAGCATTGGTAATAGATAATTGTTGTCAGATGGTCAATTAAATTGATTAAAGATTCTCATTAAGAATAGATAATAATCGAAAATGACGAATGAAGCTACGTGTTGAATTAAAGATCGATGGAGATGGTTAGGGATAAATTACAAATACCTTTTTTTCAGTTTTAACCCGAGGGAGCATACTCGTTTACCAGCTTGATTTTCAATGAAAACGTCATACCTTGGTTATCAAAGATGACTAGGAGGTTGAGCTACACGTTTTTAATAGAACTTGTACAATACATGAACGTGTAGAATAATGGTCCCCAGGGGATTAGTTCTCCCAGACCCTGGAAGATGAATTTTATCCTAGATTCGCCCCATTCTAGTGTTTACTTACCCAATTGAGTATAAAGAGGGATAAAGTCCCTGGAAAAATCAATGCTAGTGTATAGAAATCTCTGGGGGTCATGATCTAGTACATGTTTACGTACACGTTTTCTTAAAAACGTTTAGCCTAACCTTGTTATTGTCGCCGCCTAACACATGTAGAAAACGTGTACTGGGTTAGCCAAAAAACAATACACAAGTTTGAAGATGAAAATTATATGATCCTATGTTATGTATAAGATGTCATTTTAAAGATAAGTCATTTCCAAACAACATGACATAATTCAATTGAAAAAAAATCTTTTTTTTGTGAACCTAGAGGCTAAAATTGACACTAGGGCTGTCATAGCGACGACAATCATAAAATGGAAATTCCCAAATCCCTCTGCTTTTGGCTCTGATAATAAAGTCAATAAATAAACAATAAGAAATTCAGATTAATATCCAGTCTTGTTTTCCTGAGGAAATTCCCATCTGTTTTCATCAGATTTTCACACTACACCTTTATGTCTGATTGACTCCTTTGACAGAGGGTGATTCTCCTAGAGGCTCGTTAACCCTTTCCAACATAACGTACTAATGTACTTATGTAATACCCCAGGGCAGACATTGACAAGTGTCAGTTGCAGTTAGAATATCGGGGTAACAATTAAATATGGTGATCTTGCTGAAACTGGCTCATATTGTCCTCTTTATGCAAAACTGAAAATAAAAATAAACAAGTTTACTAATCAAAGGTTCTCATACTCGTCACACGTCTGGTCTCAAAACCGCAAGATGTTCTGATGAAAATAACGACCTGGAATTACCAAGAATGTGTTTTCCAAATGCACTTCCAACGATTTTATAAGCACTTTGTTCAAGCGATCAATGTGGTAATGGGCCTTTCTTTTTGTTTTAAGGTGCACAAAATTATGATTGGAGAAAATCGAACCGGCTACTGGTGCGTGAAAGAATGGAGTGCCCCAATATATGGTCAGCTCTATGAACTCTACATGCTTATCACGATATTCATTATTCCTCTAGGAATCATGTCATTCGCCTACTTTGGTATATGTCATGAACTTTGGAGGGTGACCTCAAAAAGAGCTAGTATTCGAGCACCAATGACGTAAGTAAAAGTATTTTATCTCGTGTATAATGGGTCTTAAAGGACAATCTAGGGTGATGGGTGATCGAAGTCAAGTCTTATCGGTGTTATCATCACGAGTGACTTGTTAAAATCAGAATTCATTGACGATCTCTCACCTTATTTTTAAAATGGCGGGCGGGAATCTACAATTCCGGCCATATCAAGCGAGTATTTTGGTAACAATTAATTGGGAGTAAACTGTTATCAGTTGAACTTGAAAATAGTCCGGGAAATAGGCAACTTACAAACGTGACCAACTACATTTGAGGACCTTGATAATTGGATAATGGTTCATCCCATTAAACTCAATTCAATGAGATTATTGTTCTCTTCAAGAATATAATACATCCTATACTTTATCCTAGCCTTTGTCTCTGTAATGACGACTGGGACATTATCATTAGCGTCCTTTTCAGCTGCAGGATATTCTGACTTAAAGCCAAGTAATAGACCCTCTCTTACCTGACCGATGCAATCGTGGGGTGGTTACTACAATTTCGTGATCACGGTTATTATGTTGTATCTTAAACGGTTCAACTGATTACCATTTCATCCATTTCTAAAAAGTAGTTATCAGCTATTAGTAAAGTAGAAGGATAGACAAAAAAATTATAAACAAAAATTAGTAGATGATGGTGGCAAGCACTGAACAAAATCTTTTTAATTTTTCAGAATATGTGCCCAATATATTGGTCTAAATGATAAAATCTTTGAAAATTTGATATCATTCGTAAAAAAAGAAAAACATAAAAAACTGAAATGAAAAGCGATCTATTTTCCTTTTTATGACCGCCATTTTTGTTTCAGACAATTTTCTAAAATATCAAAGATTGGATCATTTAGAGCAACATATTTGGCACATTTTCTAAAAAATTATGACCATGTACAGTGTGATCCTGGTCATGTAAATGATATTTGGAACTAGTTGAATTGACTGGAAGTCAAAACAGAACTCTGTTAATCAGAGTTAAAAATGTTTGAAATCCAGCATGGTTTTGTCACTTCCTGTTTTGTAATTTACGAGACCTAAGGTCAAAAGAGAAAATTATCTGGAGTTAATGGCAAATAATTCTGACGCAGTGGATTCTTAGTTTTGTCCCGGCTACTATCAATCCCATAATTTATCCAAGATATTTTAATCAAGAATAAATTATTGGTGAATTTGTACAATCCTTATATAAAATGATGTTCTAAATTATCAAGTTACAGCCCCTCAAAAAGTTTGGTAAACGGAGATTTCCCAATTGGATAGCATGAAAAGTCTGTTTATGTTTTGGTTTGCACCATTGGTATTGTAGGGTATCTTGACCCAGTTGCGTTATGAGATTTTTAAATTTGTTGTGAAAAACAATTTTGAATTTCAAATAGTTTACAACGATAGTAGAGGACCTATAAACAGGTCAGGTCATGGGCTTTCTCTTGAAAGCCCATGGTAAACTCAACATTGTTAAAGGTCAAAATCTAGGTCACTCGTCCCTTTAAAAAACTAAAACCAAAAACACCAATCCTTTAAATTTAATTCGCTATACTGGTTGGTGAAAATATATGTTTCAGGTTCTGCCGTCTGTAGAAATCGTCTTCAAACGCAAAATCCAAATTGCAATGTGCACTCAGTTTATATCTTACATAACAGTAAGATTATTTAATCACCTAAGAGCTTTTAACAATGTATTGAGCTATGCCACATCGCTGACTTTGACGATTTTAAGTCGCATTCTTCATGATAAGATGGCAGCTACAATGATAATAAAGTGACTTTTAATGCAAACATCAAAGCTTAATAAAACAAGCCATCCTCGTCTGTGACAGGATAACTCCAATATTTCAAATAAAGTATCTTAACTTAATAAATGTGAGTAATCAACGGGAAACTTCAGGGTGCGAGCAAAATAAAAGTGTTCCGAAAAGTAGACTGAAAAAATGCTGTTTAGTCTACACGCATGGTTGAGAAATTGATATATTGTCAACTTAACAAATAAGGGCGCCTTGATTCCAAAGAAAGCTCTTAATGATGTATCAATGGAAAAATTCAATATAGTGAAAATAGCTAGAAAACTGATAGAATTTTAACTTCTCTAATTTTGATTTTTAATTTTCCACGTCAGTACCCTGCTAATTGCAAAACTAGAAATGGCGTGGAGATTCTTCCCACATCTCGTAAAATAAGGAAAAAACGCAGTTTCATTTTGTTACCGAAACTTCCGTTTCGGTAACTAGTTTGAAGAGTGCAGTGAGTGTACTATCCTTACTCGGTTTGTTTATTTCGTGGTATGACGAAAGTAGTTCTATTAAAAACCTGTTTGGGGACTCCAATGCCGGTGTAAAAGGGTAGGCGGTCCTATCAAATTTTGGTCCTACTCTCTATTGATTTATATGGTGACATAATTACAATTATTTTCCTTATTATTTATATACAGTAATGGATTAGCTTGGTAGTGGTGACTTGGTCAATGTACATAAATATGATGACGTTTTGGTACTCCAACTATAAAAGAGAGCAGAACCTTTGATTTTCGTGGGATATTTTTGTTGAAATTTTTTTGACATGAAGGTGGTATATTTCTCTGAAATACTTTGAAATTCGGTGGGCTGTGTTTCGAGAAATTCTAATTTGAACTTTGTGAATTTAGCATGCATCTCGTACAAAAAGTAATGAGATTTCTACCAGTACCAGTGAAACTGAGGATTTCAGACTCGTTTTCGTTTTCAAAAATCTAGATTTTGACCTTTGTCCTTCAGTTTTATCAACTTTTATCAACAAGTATGTTATCAAGTTCAATGAAAGATTAAAAGAAGGTTTTGAAAACGTAACTTCTCACTTCTAAAAACAATGATTCTCATATCGCATCCACTATACCAAAACGGACCGCTCTTGTCTTCAGCTTAGAACTAGTAAAGTTAGGTTACGAAAAATGAACATAGTAACGCCTTTTAATTTCATAATTTTCTATTTCTTAATATTCCAGTTCCAATACGAATGGTGGCACGAAAGCACCGGAAGTGACGCCATTCATGGTCCGTCACCAATTAAGCGTGGTGCGAAGAAGTGATAGTGGGGCACCATGCCTTTCCAACCAGGGTAACCAGCGGGTCCCGGATGACATCAGACAACGCAGACAAGTAAGACAAGTAGGCAGGCTTTTAAACTGTTCTTGCACCTCATACTTTGGCTATGGGCACCCCCTTGCTATCGCACTAAAAACTTGTAAAGGGAACATCCCCTTTTGATACCCCGCATGTAGATCAGTTCTCTATGCTCGCATACAACCTCATTATGCTCTGGTAAATGGGAAGTTTCATGCAAATGATTCAACTCTTTATTCTTATTGGTTAATTGCTGCTGTTATGCATTTTGCTATAATTATGTATTCTCTGTTGAAATTCAGTGACAGCCAATGTTTATTTCTGTCGCTGAATAATGCTCGCATCCAATTAAATTCTGTATTCTGATTATATTAGCTTGATTAGCTTATAGTTATTTTTTCAATAGATATGAATTATATTTACATTTCACATACACGTGGTTTCCACAAAACCGTTTTGTGTTACGGAAACTAACGTTATCGTAAACAAGCGTCATCAAATTGTTTTTGTTTTGATGTTGATACGGGAATGTATAAAATGTACATTAGCAGTGGTCCAATAATCAAATTGTCCGAACAATAAGAAAATTGATTAAAATTGCGAGTGAAAGTATCCGAATTTTGATTCCGTGTATAACATTGAACGGATATTTGACATTACCATATTGGCAGAATGTGTCTGTTCTATTGCCCTTGGAGGAGGCAACGAAGCAATTGAATGACCATGTTTTAATAACCACTCTCTAGGGAAAAGAACAATCTGTTCAGGAAATTACACAGGTTGTCAGTGTCTGACATATTTTAAAATAGTCAAGCAAATTAAGGTGAAATAGTATACAATCCTACTTTTGAACTCAATCTCTACTGTCTGATTAGAAAACAGAATATTTTCTAAAATCGTTGGCAAGGCGATGAAATATACTTGGTATTATTTCATACAATTAATCACGCCTAGATCTCATCGCATATCAAGTAACTTGCGGATAATATTTTATCACCACGTGGTTAAAAGTGACGCAGTTCAACGACGCGTGCCTATGTAAGTATCGCGTATCTTGACGTCGTCGCATTCCTCAAAAAAAATTATATAAACTAAAGGGCAAACGGTAGATACTGGAGAGTTTAAGCTAGTATATAAAATCGAAAGGGCACGGCAACGTATACGCATAAATTTATGCAAATACATGTAGCTTCCTCACTTTTGAATAAAAATAGCCAATCTGGCTGCAGTGTTTGTTTAGACTACACCGCAGTAAGCTTATGTGTAGCATGTAATACGCCATTGGTAGTTCTGTAGTTCTATAGTTGGTTTTCTGATCAAACTCGTTTGATAAGAAAGTCAGAATTAAACATTCATGACATTCATCATCTACTTCAGAAAGAATTCTACTTTGTTCTGAAATCAAAATTACCAGCCTAGTATGGCAAAGACTATCCTTCGCATACGTTCGACTTCACTTCTTAAAAGAGAGTTTCGTCTTCGTAGTTTATAACTAGACTCTGCGCGCAGGGTAGCAATAGACACGAGTATATAATGATTCCCGTTGAGAACAATAATTCTAAATCCGAGATCATTTCAAAATATGTATCAATTACCATATGCATTGTATGAAAATGAACCTACACGTATGTCTATAATTTATCAGCATGATCGACAGGTATATTAAGGTAATATTTGATGGTGCCAGAACCTTTTTACGATTCATTTATCGTATTTTTCAGTTGAAGGAAAGTGATATACATTTTCACCGTGGTTTCACTCATGCAAAGTTAGTTATCATCAAATCATTATGTAGAGATAAAGTAACAGATTTGATTATATCAATAAATATAGGTTACCATCTTGATTTTATCTAGAATTGGTAGTTTGAAAGCAGAAAGACGTGATAAGTATAAGAATAGGGCGTTAGCATCGTGATGAGAGTTACATTTAAAAATCAGATAATTAAAGTATTAAACCATACATTACTTTGGTCTGAGGCAGATAATGATATGCGATGCTAACTAATGATACATGATGCTAATAAATGACATTCAAACTCATATCTGCACAACATCTGTTACGTAATTATGAAGTATAACGTAAATCTATAGAAACCTCTCCCGTCTTCGATCCTCCTTCTCCCTACTTCAATATCAAATCTTCCAACATCATTTCTTACAGAATCACAATTATGGTCTGCTAAGGACGTTGAAATGTATCAGTCTATATTGTAATTAAAGTACATTTCTCAACACTCTTACCACAAGTTTCACTAAAATTGGATTATGGGCCATTTGCCTTTCTTAAAGTCCCCGTCTAAAGTTTGAAAATATTTTTTTATCATTCATTTACTATTTGTCAGGACTTTAAAAGTGATTTTAGAGATTTTTGAACAAAAAAAAATTTTGGAAAAAAAATTTGTGAGCATTTCATTTCTCAAATATTCAAATTTCCCGCCATTTTTCAAAAAAAGTTGAAATTTCTTAATCATCAAATATTTCTTAACGCATTTCAAAAAAGATTATCTTTTTAACACCAATGCAAAGGTTGAACAAAGGACACACTATTTCAATAATAAAATGCCATATTTAATGGGCCACTTCAATGTTTTAACATATCAAAAATATTTTGAAACATTAGTGATGTCACTAAGGTACCAAAAACTTTTTGAAAAAAATTGAAATTTTTTTTTCGATGTCAATCTTTTCTAAATATGTTACACTTTCATAAAAAAACAATGTTGATTGTCTAACCAGGTTAAAAGGAAGAATAAATTGTGTTTTAGATATCATTGTACCATTGGTTTCTATGAGAACTAAAATTTTGAAATGCATTTTTCTCAGAACCATTTTCATGCACTGATAAGTTTATTTCTCGCTTATTTATGAACCGATTTTCTTAATTCTTTCGGCAAAAAACATGGGAGGATGTATGCTATGCATTGGTTTGAATTGTGGCTAATTTGAAGATATGAGTGACCTCTAAAAGTTGGTTTTAAATAAATTCACAAATTTTGGAACAAAAAGTCTATCAAAAACCACTTTTTGAAATTTTAAAAAAAAGTTTCACATATCACACTTTGATAACATTGGGTAAGACTACAATATAAGCCAAAGTGGATTAAACTTTATATGGGGCCTTTAAGAGTTTGTGTGGGGTTTAAGTAAGATAAACCATTCGTATTAGGTCTTTGGAGAATTAATAGCCTCCGCCCTCGGCCTATTATTCCTCTTAAAACCCAATACTCAAAATTTATCCTTAACTTACACTATACTTAATATTCCAATTTCCCATTTCTCTTGCGTTCCTGGCCAAATAGTCCATATCTCTGTAAAAATCCCCCCTCCTATAGGACACTTTCGAATACACAAAAATTAATTAAGGGGAGATGTTCAAGTGATAAGTGAATATGTATCAAGATCTGATCTTAAAGTTCATTATCCATTACATTCAAAAGAATCCACCAGATCGCTTTTACGGGAAAGGGCGGTGTGTCCAGTCAGTGAAAAGGTTAAGAAATAAAATATATTTTTAAAATATACTTTTCGGTTAATATGTGTTTTCAGGTTAAATAAGATCAATATGTAGCATCTTCAATCTTTGGTTTCAATTAATGACCAACCGAGACCTGTACTTACTGTTGAATCATTTTTGACTGACAGCTAATTCCGGACGATTGCACAGAAATGAAATTACTACACAGATAATCCTTTCAGCTGGGGAGATTAACCGAATTTCAGTATGCAGTAATCAAGCACATTTATTCTAATTCACAACTTGAATGAAATATGTGCTATTTTTGAATCTCAAATGACGTCTGTTGTGGTCATTAATTTGCTGGCCCGTGTTGATAACTGTCACCCCTCAGTGTGCCCTCTAACTGGACTTTATTGGACATGAACGTGCACCTTCTACAGGTTTACCAGACTTGTCAAAAAATGGTCCGTCCACACGGACAAAGGCACAATTTCCCGACACTATCACCATGACTAGACACTAGCACTATGTCTAGACGATAGCACCGTGTCCCGAAGGTAGCGCCATTTTTTAGAACAATAGCACCATGTCCAGATAGTAACACAATGACCAGACAACAGCACCATGACTGGACAATGCCAATTACAATACAATTATTTTCCGTATTCCTTTATACTCAATCCGCCAAGTAAACAGCACAAATGGGAGCTAATTCACAGATGACCATAATTCTACACGTTCAAGTACAAGTTTCTGAAAAACGTGCATCTTAACCTCTCAAATGTCTCACAGTAGTCAGGTTCTCGGACATCCTTTATTCAAAGAACTTCATTTATTGCTCAATTCATGGAAAGAAGTGAAATACCCTTGGACCAAGGATGCAGGCCCGTAGCCAGGATTTGCCAAGGGGAGTTCACTTTTTGAAAAATTCCAATTTTGAAAAGTTCGCTCGAACCCATCGAACATCGAACACCCCCCCCCCACCCTGGCTACGGGCCTGGGATGGTTCTCGGATGGCGGGGGTGTAACACAATCCCTCTCATTATTCGGAAAACTGGAAGTGTCTTGAATATGGCCACGCACATTGACTCAGAATCTATGAAACTGCTCAATGGCTCGAAAAGGACTTATTTTGAATGTGTTTAATTAACTACACGCCTTCTGCTTTTCAGGTGATCAAGATGCTGGTGACGGTCATCGTTATCTTCGCCCTTTGTTGGGGCCCGTTCCTAATAGACAATGTCCTCGTCTCCTTCGATAAACGTTTTGAGCTGAACTATTTTGAGTTAAAGCCAATGCGACTCGCTTTCTCTCTGATGGCTTATTGTAATAGCTGTGTCAATCCCATAGTTTACGCATTTATGTCCAAGAACTTTAGAGAGAGCTTCAAACAGGCATTAAAGTCGTGCTGCAAGAGGAACTACCAAAACGAGAGAATACGATCCACTAGACTTTCTCAGCATCAAATGTCTTTCCATAGTAAATCAACGTCTCTCACAAGGGGACTTTCGTTAAAGACTGAGATTGAGAATAACGAAATGCGGGAACGTGGTGGTCGAGCTGGGAGGACTAAGGTACCATGTGTGCACCATGGTGTACAGCAAAAGCCCCATTATGTCAGACATGCAGAGCTCAAACAACAGTTTATGTGAAATACGATTAATGAAAACATGTAAAATCAAAATGGAATGTATGTATTTTCCTATAATAACAGAAGATAGCATGATCATGATCATTTTTACAATCCATGGAGTTGTTTGGAGTCTTCCCTCTGGTAGATCTAGAGCAAGGAAGTATGGGCGCGACCATGGTGGAAAAATGCGGCGAGGCATTATGCCGTTCAATGTATGGATATTGTTCATGAATTGTGTGATATATTTGATATGTACCAGGATATCTTGGCTGACGATTTATCAAATGAATCGTTCGAATTGCATATATGGACATACTTTGTGATGATTAATGATTCTATTGTATTAAAATATATTCAGATTATAACAACATACAGCTCTCTGATTTATGAAGGAATTGATGAAATGGATCAAATGAAAGATATAACTTATTGTAGACATAGGCAAAAACAATCTTTATGAGATTGTGGCCTTAATCCACTTTATATTGCAGTATTCTTGTATAAAGTAATAAACATTATTGACTTGTCGACCTGTGAAGTCTTACCCTCTGCCAGTAGTAATTTGCAGTCCATTTGATGTAAACATAAGCCAATTTCATAGCCTGACCTTTATTTATGTGGAAGTCGGAACATGTCTTTTTCTGAAGCCCTTGTAGTAGTTCCTCATTTGTAAAGGGTAAACTGGATATAGCTTGCCATAACTGCCATAAATTTATTTTGTAGTTCTCTATCTATATCTGTCTACGTTTAAAACCGTTAGACTAAGGGTTTTCACCGGTGATCCACTAGATTACGCTAGTTACCGAAACTGTTCGTTTATACGTAAACCGAATGGGGTATATGTAGGAGTGCAGCTCTTAATCGTTTTTGAAGTTTCGAGGTTCCGACATTTTGTTACCGAAACCTTGTAATCGAGTGGATCACAAGTGGTTTTGACAGAGACGGGTCGAATTGAATTCTCTTACCTTTCCAGGAAGGTAGACCATGTCCAATATCCCGATGGATCAATGGAATATTCTCGGTTGAGTGGTCAACTACAAGGTGGGCCAAAAAACGTCCATATCTTTATTTGGCGATAATAGTTTCAATAATGATGCAGGAATAGATGCAGGAATCAATTATGCAATTGAAATAAAGAATTACTCTTTGCGGTTAACAGACACTAGGGGTCTAATTGAAAATATACAGTTGCCAGGATAATATTCAAAGAAACGGTTTCACATAGACACTGGTGATCCGCTCGATTACGCTGGTTACCGAAACGGTTCGTTTTGGTAACAAAATGTCGGAACGTCGAAGGTACGATTTTACTTTTTTCCTTATATCACACTTTGTACCTGCAGAATCCCCACGACGTTTTTTCTCACAAACGTATATCAGTATCATATGTTTTAGAAAATGTACATGTTTGCGAAAAATTAAAATAGTTCAGAAGACAACAGAATCGTCGATTTAATTCCTCACTTAAGTTACATAAACGGTTTGGGTTAAAAGTGCAGATCTTAACTGTTTTTCGAAAAACCGTTTATGTAACTTAAGTGAGGAATTAAATCGACGATTCTGTCGTCTTCTGAACTATTTGTTCGCAAATATGTACATTTTCTTAAACATATGATACTGATACACATTTGTGTTAAAAATGTTGTGGGAATTCTGCCTACAACGTGTGAAATAAGGAAAAAGAAAAGTCGTACCTTCGATGTTCCGACATTTTGTTACCAAAACGAACCGTTTCGGTAACCAGCGTAATCGAGTGGATCACCAGTGATAGATATTGTTTATGCGTCAAATAATAGAACCAGATTGACACTTGTTACACAGTCAGTCAGAGAGACGTGTTATGTACAGGGCGTATCAAATAAACGCAACAAGTAGTTATCTCGTAAAATCACAAAACTAGTGATGACTACATCAATTTCATTCAATGTACCATAAAGCCACGTCTCTACTCTTGGCAATGATATATATGTCATTCATTCACATGTGGTAATGGTTGGGTGAGAAATCCTTCCATTTGCACAGTGGGCTAAAATCGGCTCTGGAACAAGTTTTAGATATTGAAAAAATCAGTGCAAGGGCTAAGTGCCAATGGAAGTTCCCCTGACTTGAATTGTTGTGACTTTTTCTTTTGGAGCTATCTCAGGAGCATCTGTGCTCACAATTACTCAGATGCGAGTAGGTAGTTACCAGTTTCGCCACCAGGTGGCTGATTCAGTCGGGGGAAATAACATGGCAGGGTATTACAAAATTCCCTAAACCTGAATATTCATCAGTTTTAATGGTTTACTTTTCATATTACCCGTATGTATGTGATAGATATACAAATTAAAATATGTCCAGTAAAAGAAAATATTATCTGCCCAACAAAAGAAAAGATATTTCACTTTTTGTGGTTTTACAAAATGGGGTCTATGGGGAATCTCCCCGACCTAGAAGTCACATTTTCAAAGAAAATTAAATTTTCAAAGTTGATAAACTCTTTTCAAAACCACATATCTAGATGTAATTTTACATGTAGATTCAAGATATGACATCAGTTTGACTAAATTGTGAATTTTTAATGACGTAAATCAAGATTATTTCTACTCGCATCTGGGATATTCCTCCACCAGCAGCTGGGCGGCCAAACCAAAATATGACGTCACGATTATCACTACGCGCCGGTGATTAAAAATTCTCGGCATACGTCCAGAATCTCCACTTCCCGAATAGATATTCTAATCCTGTAAAAACTACAGAATATTTACACTTTATACTTGGCAGAGACATAATGTATAGTTTCTTTTTACGATTTAAATAGGTTTCGATCACGCAACTTCAATATAAGTAGGGTAATTTGAACTTTCATTTCGAGCATTTTGAAGACCCCTTGAAACAATCGAATAAAAACCACTAGTTCGGTAGGCAGTTTGACTGTTGTTTTCGACTTGTAACATGTATTTTCAGATTTCAAGGTGTAACTTTATAAGTTATGACGTGAGTGGTCTATGTCCCTTCATATAAGTGTGTCTGGATCTATACTAGACAGATTCGCTGGACATTAAGTTGAAATGAGCTGTCCTTATCGGGGCTGACTCGATTTGGAATCAGCTGAATGGCGATTTTCCTTCTGACATTCGACGAGTTTAGTGAGCTCTTCAACCGATTTGTTCTTGGTAAATCGCTTGACCAACGAGATTAAAAGAAAGTCTATATCATATAGGAACTGCACATACCTTAAAACTGCATAACACGCGCGATTATTTGTATTTAATCGGCTCTTTACCGTCTCCTGATGTCTATTCTAGAGTGAGCAACTACATGTACTTGTCAAATACATTCCACAGGAGGTCAATGATACCGGTCACTGAGTACAGTGACCCAAAAGGCAAATTATAACAAACCGATTACTAGTAGTACCCGGTTACCATAGAAAATATAAATTCTATTGGTAAATGTAACTAAATCAGAAAACTCAGAAAATATAAAATAATAACGTTAATTTTGATTTTCAACTGAATATTATATTGAAATTGGAATCTGAGAATGTTCAATGCTGGGGCATAAATAAGGAATGGCAATAATATATGGAAAAGTATATTCATAATGTACATGAATGACATTTGTATATCATTGCAAGAGGTTACATTTCTTCATTTATCACTGAAGGGGCTTAACTTGAGGCAACCATTGTCTAATTCATAAAATTGATCCAATCACTCCATTGTAGGCCTAAGTTTTTAATTGGTTGCTAATGGTAAAAATAGTAGCTTGAGAATGAGAATATAATTAAGAAATATAGACCGAAAAGCAGGGGTAATATTGTCGAATACACCCCGCGTGAAATGTTGACTTTGTTTACATTTTATAGAAGGCGTGAATACATTCGTGTTCGAATATAAAATTTAGCATAGAATTTATGCCTGGACTGGAATAAAAGGAGACGTCGCCGTACGGAGAACAGTCTCTTGGGCTCATAATTTTTTAATGAAAAATTTAGAAATATCACCCAAATTAAATCTTGAATATTCAAAAGAACACACTTAATTCTGCAAGATGTAAAAATATCACAATTGTTCGAAGCAGGGGTAACGTGCAGTAGACCGATTCAATAAAATACAATTAGTCTAGATTTGGAGAAAGAAGTTCATCAGTTTACTGCACTCATAATTTATTTTTTTATGAAAAAATTTGAAATATCACCCAAATTAAATCTTTTCAAAAGAAGACATTCAAATCTAGCCTAAATAATGTAAAAGAATTGTGCAAAGCAGGGTAACGCTAGAGTGATGAACTTCGTTCTTCAAATCGAGAATACTCATTTGTTGAAAATGTTATACCTAGCATTTGTAACAGAATTATGCCTGGTACATACTTTTGCTCTAATAATGCAATATTTAATGTTTTCATGCTGGGGATATAATTGCAAATTTTGTAAAAATTATGCTAACAACAAATATGACACAGACAGATGTTATAATTATTTTAAATATTATCAATAATTCACTTTATTTTCATGATATTCAATACAATTTATATAATATTGCATGTGTTCAATATAGCAGAACTTGATTGATACCTTCTAAACCATACTATAAGGGAACAAATTCATCATCATTCATAGGGAAGTGATTTTAAAGTGTGCCCCAATTTCAGACACAGATAGACATGATAGAAACCAGAACAACGGCAATGCCAAAGCGTAGCGAATCCCATCGAACAGAAATGGCTGGCATTTTTACAAACGAATGCAAATATCATAAAACAACACACCAGAAAGGCCACCATTTTCAAAATGGTTGCTCACTAGCCAAGTTGTCATCAGGAGAAATAATATGCTTTTAAGTAGCCATCTCTAAAATTTTCGAAAAATCGCACACATACTTGTAAAATAACACACATAAAAATGGTGGCCATTTTTCAAAATGGCCGACTACTCCCCAAAGTTTAATTAGACAATGTGCCATGCTTAAAGTATTCACATATCAAATATGAACAAAATCGCTCCAATACTTTTCGAGTTATAGTAAAATACGTTAAAATGGCGGCCATTTTTCAAAATGGCCACCTTCTACCAAAAGTGTCATTAGAAATAGACAGTGTGCCATGCTTATAATATTCACATACCAAATATGAACAAAATTGCTCCACTACTTTTCGAGTTATAGTAAAATACATTAAAATGGGGGCCATTTTTCAAAATGGCCGCCTTCTACCAAAAGTGTCATAGGACAGTGTGCCATGCTTATAGTTTTCACATACCAAATATGAACAAAATCGCTCCACTACTTTTCGAGTTATAGTAAAATACGTTAAAATTGCGGCCATTTTTCAAAATGGCCGCCTTCTACCAAAAGTGTCTTTAGACAGTGTGCAATGCTTATAGTATTCACATACCAAATATGAACAAAATCGCTCCACTATATTTTGAGTTACAGCAAAAATCGTAAAATGAACTTCGTTCGATGGGATAATAAATGTAG